TCTCTGTCTGTCTGGCGAGAGCATGCGCCCTATAGCGAAAACCTCTCCAAAAAAAAAAGAAAGAAAAAAAAAAAAACTTGGACTTCAAAATAAAATCATTTTAAACTTTATTTTTTTAAGGTTTAATTTTATTTACTATTTTCATTTGACCAGAGAGAAAGGGAAAGAAGGAAAGCAAGCTGTCAGGTCCAGGTCTCCCACGGCTGGCCACTTGGGAGTCCAGTAACTGAACCACCACGTCACCAGCCGGCCCCCAAATCTTTTAAACTTTAAAATACACTGTAAGAAAGTTAAAATACAAGCCATAGACTGGAAAGATAAATTTGGAAATCATAAATGATAGAGGATTTGTACCTATTAATAGAATAAAGAACTTCTACGATTCAAAAGACATCAGATAACCACATTTTTTAAATGAGTAAAAGATCTGAATAGACATTTCACAAAGGAAAGTATACGAACAGCTAAGGACCACATGGAGAGATGCCCAACATCATCCGGCGTCAGAGATGCAGAAATCCGAAAGACAGCAGGATAATACGTAACACCCGCTAGAGTGAAAGAAAAGCAGTGAGGAGTGCTGGCCGGTATCGCTGGCGGGAACACGAAACGGGCAGCTGCTTGGGAGAGCAGTTCGGCAGCTCATCCGAAGTTAAACATGAGCCATCGCTGGCCCGGCGAGTTCACTGCTCGGTGTGTACACCACAAGAAATGGAAACGTGCATCCAGATAATGGGCACACGAAGTCCGAACAGCAGTACTCCTGCAACGGCGAGGAAGTGCAAGCCATCGGCACCACTGGAGGGCGGCCAGCAAGTGCCGTACCTACAGTGGAGTACCACTCAGCCGTAAGAGGGACGGAGCCCTGATGTATTTCTAACATTCTTACCACAATATAAACCCCCCAAACATTACGCTAGGTGAAAGTCAGCACGCAAGGCCGCGTGTGTGACTGCGTTCACAGGAAATGTCTGGAAGGGTAAAGCCACACAGATGGAAGGCAGATTAGCGGCGGGGCTGGAGTTAGGAGCGATCGTTTGAATACAAATGGGCATAAGAGACCTTGGAGTGACAGAAACGTTCTAAGCCAGGACTGTGGCGATGACTTTACACTCTACAGCATTTATGGAAGATCACGGAATCGACCCATCTTGTTTCCTTATTTTTGTCAGAGAGCACGTGCACTTGCCAGAGAGACAGAGAGGGGGACGGGGTGCCCACGCTGCGGCTCTCCCCACTCCCTCCTTGGGTTCGGGGCACACAGACACACGTGCTGGCGTGTCCTCTTAGACCTGGTCTGTGCAGTCAGTTATGTGGGAATCCAGCTCCCTAACCACCATGCCTCAAGGTTTGTCATGAACTGATAAATCTTTTTTTTTTTTAAATTATTTATTGAGCTTTATTTATTCATTCATTTTTAATTTGACCAGAGAGATACACACAGACAGAAAGTGAGAGAGAAGACGGATAAAGCAAGCTGCCAGGTCCAGGACTTGAACTGTGGTCAGCCATGTGGGAGCATCCACCGCCTTAACCACCACGCCACCTGCTGGTCCCATGTACTGATAAATGTTAAAATGTTTTCTTTTTTTCTTTTTTTGGAGAGGATTTTTTTGCTATAGGGCGCGTGCACTCGCCAGACAGAGAGAGAAAGAGACACAGAAAGAGAGAAATCACCCCCCAGGGAGGATGGCCACGCCGCAATCCCTTCTCCTCCATTCTCCTCTCGGGATCTTGGGCACACGCGCACACGTGCCCGGCGTGAGTTTTAAGCCACCAGGTCCAGGACACAAACCGCAGTCCACTATGTGGGAGTCCAGCGACATAGCCATTACGCTAACTGCTGGTCCCAAAATGTTTTCTTTTAAAGTGTTTGCATTGTTTTCAATTTATTTAAAGTCTGAAAACAAAAACTACTTTTTTAAAGGAAATTCTTTTTTAAGAATTATTTTATTTTATTTATTTATTTTTCGGGGGGAGAGGTTTTTGCTATAGGATGCACGCGTTCGCCAGAAAGACAGAGAGAGACAGAGAGACAGAAAGCGAGAAATCACCCCTCAGAGGTGATCGCAATCCCTTCTCCTCCATTCTCCTCTTGGGATCTTGAGCATGCACACACATGGGCCCGGTGTGAGTTTAAGCCACCAGATCCGGGACTTGAACTGCAGTAGAGACTACATGGGAGTCCAGTGATATAGCCATTATGCCAATTGCTGGTCCCTTTAACTTTATTTTTAAAAATGTTACCAGAGAGGGACAGAGTGAGAGAGAGAGAAACTTGAGAAAGCAACCCACCAGGTTCAGCACTCAAACTGCAGTTGGCCATGTACAAGTCCAGTGCCCTTAAGCACCATGCCACCTGCCAAAGCCAGAAAACAGAAACTTCTAAGATAAAAGAAAACATTTCGTGGCTAGCAGGCGGCATGGTGGTTGAGGCACTTGACTCACACGTGGCAGAGCACAGTTCAAGTCCTGGAACTGGAGACTTGCTTTTTCACTCTCCCTTTCTGTCTTTCTGGTAAAAATGGAAGAATAATGATAATAAATAAAAATAAACATCTATACAAAAAGAAAAGTTTTAAAAATGAATGTAGAGGCAGTGATAGCACTGGATGAAAAGTCTGAGACTAGTTTTCCCTAGGCATAGTATTCCTAATGGAAATAGCTCAAAGAGAGAACTATCAGCTTATAATTCCAGACTTGATTAAGCTAGTTTTATAAGAGAATATCACATAAACAAAATAAGAACGGCTCTCAACTGGTAAATTAAAAATATGTACCTGGAAGATAGGCTCTGATAACCCTAGGAGCATTCTTTGAGCATTTGTGGGGCCTAAGAATCGATGCACGAGAGAAGACCAGCCCAGGGAAAAACGGAACACAATGTCCTCTTGAAAATCCGAACACAGCTGGTGGCAGTTCAGGTCATAGCTGAGGTCGAATTTCTTGCAAGGAATCAGTGCGTCTAGTTTATTCTGTACACCAGCTGGTAGTAATGGCTTCAAATTTTCTAGAAAAATATAAATTGATGACACTTATTCTAAGAAATAATAGGGAATACTGTTTTACCATCTATGAAATGCTTAAAGGAATATAAATTCTAACAAAAGAAATCAAAAAGCAAAAACAAAAACAAAATACACATGACCTTGTAAAAAATAAATATTACCAATAATTTCCTGCTGGGATTGAAGCATCGAGGCATTGACCTCACTGGTGCAACGGTCAGCCAGGTTCCTCCCCATACCGTCTTCGATGTGCTTATTCAGCTCCTGGAGCAATGGCGAGTGTGCAAGTTATTTTTCTCCAGAAACTATGCAGACTTTAGGAAGACTTTAGAAGTGTGGTAAACATTAAAGTGATCTTAGTGCTGTTTGCAAGAAGACAAATTTTCTGTGTACTTTTTCATACAAGAACATTTACATTTATTACAAGAGACGTAGCCATTTAACTGTGTCCTAACCAACACAAAGACAGTGAGATGGCCAAACGGCTGAGTAAGAGCACAGGATAAGCAGAGGAGCCCGTCTCCGAACAGTCTCTACCCTGCTTTAACTTACACTTTTATACACTTTCAACACACTTGGAGAAGGATGAAACTCAGAACAAAACTCATCAACCAAAACAGAGAGTCGGCAAATTTCATCTGTCATTGCACACGAAACCTAAAAATATTAAAAAATCAAAATTGAGAAAAATTAAATGTGATTACCAACTACTCAAAGCAATCACTAGGAGGACCAGCAGGTGCTGCGTGGTTACGGCGCTGGGTTCCCACACAGCCGACAGCGGTCTGAGTGCCAGACCTGGCAGCCTGAAAATCACACTGGGAGCAAGCGTGTGTGCCCCAAATCCCAGGAGCATGGAGGAGGGACTGCGGCATGGTCATCCTCCTGCACAGCGGCTTCTCACTGTCTCTGTCTCTCTCCAGCCAGTGCATGTACTCCATGGCAAACCCACCCCCCCAAAAAAGGAACAAAAACTTAAAATATTTCTTTTCTGGTAATAAGGATAACATTTTTGGCATTATTAAAAATACATTCATTTCCAGATTTTTCTTTTTTGAGATCTTTCTGCTATAGGGCGCATGTACTTGCCAGAGACAGAGACAAAGCGAGAAATCACCTCCCAGGGGTGGTCTCACCGTACCTCCCTTCTCCTCCGCTCTCCTCTTGGGGTCTTGGGAACACACACGTGCTGGCACAGTTTCAAGCCAACAGGTCCTATCTCAAACTGCAGAGGATCACACTGGACTCTGGCAGCCTAACCACTGTACACCTGCTGGCCCCCTTTCCAGATACTTTAATCATAAAGTTATTTGTACTCACCTTGTTTGCCACCTCCTCAGTAACTTCCCTGATTTTTTTCTTAACATCCAGTGTTAAAAGGTTCATCTGGTTTCGGATAAAGTCTAGTCTATCAACTTGGTCTTCCCTCTCTTCTAGTGAATAAACCCTAGTACAGCATGAAGAGCAGTCAGTCCTCGAGTATTAATGCCAGGCAGTTAAGCAAGAGCACCCACGTACGTCCTGACCCGTCCACTACGGCTCAGGAGGAGCTCGTATTCCCACATCTACAAGGATGCAAGCACTACTTCACCTGTAAAATATTTGTATAGATGATTTAATATAAACTACTTTGTTTCTCTACCCATGAGGTACCTAAACCCCACACAGGATTAATAAGCATTCTAAATTTCCAAATATTTCATAGATATAAACAGTCAAAGTAAAACTCATTATTGACTTTCGGTAATGAACAGGGGTTAGCAAATGGCGTCCTCACCAACTAGCCCAGTGGCCAGTCCTTGTTAAAATTTCTTGGCACACGGTCACACCATACCATGGCTATCTACAGCTGTCTTTGCTCTAAATCTGCTGGGCCGTGACGATGCGAGACAGCGTGCCCGCAACGCCGAGTGCACCGGCCAGCTGCCCCGTGAGGCTCTGGGACCCTGGATGATACCCCACAGGAGCGCCAACGCTCGAGCTTCTCTAAGGAGGCTCTTGGGCTAACAGTTCCCAAGCACTGATTTTACAAACCACACAACTTAAATCACATCTGCTTTGCACCACACTTAATTCAATTTCCTATACCTTTAAAATTAACAAGAAGGTCGATTAGGTAGGTAAAATCCTGGGTTCTCATAAAATCACTGAGTCAGAAGTTCTATGGGACACCACCTCACTGCCCAGAAGCTGCAGAGGCTGCAGAGCTGGGGCAGGCTCTGGGCCACGTGCTGTGGTGCGGTTCCCACACCTAGGTGAGCACACCTAACCCACTCCCACCAAAGTCCCCAAATCCAGCAATGCGCTTCCGTGACACACGAGGGGGTTTGTTACCAGCCAGAGCAGTGCAGGTGAAACTCCATCCCACCCCATCTTGGACTTAATCTTGGATGCTTGATACATTTCCTTTAACTGGCCTACACCCAGCAGAGGCCCGACTGAAGCTTACCCGGACTTTTGTTGCATTTCTTAAAGTCCTGGTTTGTGCTCAAGCATCCAGTTGTACGAACTACGCTTTCCATCAGCAGTGTTGGCACTTCCATGTACTCATCTCCCCTTTATAAGGTAATGAACGGAATAAAACCACGCAGGACTGTGTTCCATATTCAGGACTTTGATTAAAAGTACTTTCTACCGTGTTTGTTAACCAGCTGATAAACCAAAAAAAATCTCAACTGGCACCAACGAGTAATTTCAAGGTCTCAATGCACAAATACTCAAGAGAATGGGCCGCGGGGTCGAATGCAAGAGCACCTGTTTTGGACTTCATTATAAAATTCTGCTTCAAGAAAGGGTTCTTCCAACGCTTTAGATATTTTAAAGCAACCAAACGTTTTTAAACCATAATTCATACAAAGGAATAATGAGATCCAGGGAATGAATGAATGTAGATGATATGTTTAAGATTACAGAACACTTACGGCTTCCAAATATCAATTTAAAAAATTGTACAAGTAGACATTAAACCCACAAGGTTGATTTCAGTATGAAAAATAGAGTGAAACCATTTTAAATCTTAATCTTAACAAAAATTTGACAAGGAAACCTAACATTTTTATGTTGCAATAGAATGAACTCATACCTTTTTTCCGCTGCAGCCACGTTTACCGAATCCATTATGCTCCTCACAGTATCTAGTATCTGTTTAGCTCTGACAGTGTGCTGCTCAAACTTTGTTCTCACTGCTGACTGCGAGATACACTCCTGCGAGGACCCAACCATAACACAGTACTGTAATTCCATCCCAACATCGTCAGGAATTTAAACACAAAAACTTGCTGTTTGTAACTTCAACCCAAATAGACACAAGAACAGAAAATAAATGCATGAGAAAAGTAACTTAAAATTACAAAAGGTAAACAAAACGGCAAAGATTCAAAAGTAAAAAGGACTTTAACAGCAAGTTCATATTTTTGTGTATTTTTACACAGTAATGTGCAATGGTTTGATTGTAATGTTAAAAAAATAATAAACAGGGTTCGCTCTTTTCTATGTAATTTTATCTGGATTGCCTATAATCCATTTCTAGTGTATCTAACTTGATTTTCCTCATACTTGACAATGGGTAAGAAATGGAGTAAGTTTCTTAATTAGGTTGTGAATTAGAATTCTACCTTATTTTAGTTGAGTGATGTAATTCCTATAGGTTACTAAAACCAACTTCTATAGATTAAAAAATATGAACAATGGAAACAATTTTTAACAACAAACCTAATGATATTTTGAATTATTTATGGAATAAATCTGAGCCATTGCAAAGGCCATCTCTTCAGGGTCCCTGACAGCATGCGCACAGGCTGCAAGATGCCCTATCTCATTTGTCCCCACCCACTAACTGTGGCAACAGCTCCATTAGTGTTTCACAACTTTGCGAAACAGAACACACCAGGAATCTGGGACCAGCAGTTAGCGTAATGGCTATGTCGCTAGACTCCCACGTGGTCAACCACTATTCTAGTCCCAGACCTGGTGGCTTGAACTCACGTCAGGTGCGTGTGCGTGCATGCCCAAGATCCCGAGAGGAGAATGGAGGAGAAGGGATTGCGGCGTGGCCATCCCCCCTGGGGGGTGATTTCTCACTTTCTGTCTCTCTGTCTCTCTCTCTTCCTGGTGAGCACACGTGCCCTATAGCAAAAACCTCACCAAAAACAAACAAACAAGACGGAATACACCAGGAAGGAATCTGTCACATACAGCAACAAATACATTTTGTAAAATTTTTCTTTAAAATTTCAAGCTACGCAATACTATTTATCATCTAAAATATATGCGTGTTTTCTACTGTGTCATCATTGAAAGTCTACAAAATTGTTACAGTTGGCCTCATTTCATTTTACTTCACAGAAAGTCAAATTCTGCCCTGACAGTGCTTGTATACAACTGTGTTTACAGAAAAACACACCAACATCAATGACTATCTCAGTTTTGTAGAAAACATGTTTCATTTTTTTTGAGAATTTTGCTGTAGGGCACGTGTGCTCACTGCAGAGACAGAGAGAGGGAACACCCCGGGCGATCGCCATGCAGCAACCCTTTCTCCTCTGTTCTCCTCTGGGGATTCTGGGCACACGCACACATGCCTGGTGAGTTCTAAGCGCCAGGTCAACATGTTTGTTTTCTATACTAACTTTTTAACAAGGAAGGGTAAGTCCCTATGCTCCAAACTGCTGTGAATCCGTCCCCTGGAGCCTCTATGAGTACGACTCGCAGCCCACAGCTCTGGGGCTGCTCACCCCACTTCGTCCACAGCCCACAGCTCTGGGGCTGCTGGTCCCACTCCATCCACATGAAACTCACAGAAGCATCGCTCGTCCTCACAAACCTTCACAAGGCTGAGAGCATTTCTATCTGTACATTAAAGCAAAGACAAAATATCCATGGGTGCGTCCTTCTATAAAACCACTCGCACAGTGAGCACATGCATTATAAACTACTTATGTTTTAATGACAAAACTGTGATTTTATTTTAAGTAACTGTCATAATAAATGTGCCAAATAATCCCCTCCAAATGTGGCCAGATGGTGGCACAGCAGTAAAATAATGCTCTGCAAGGCAGCCCCACATGGGAAGGCCCCTGGATCAAGTCCAGACACCTGCCCTGAGAATGCCAGGAAGATGTGAGCCCAGGACCTGGGGACGGGGACCAGGGCATCAGAACCCCGTCAGTGCTCTCTGCCCCTCTCCCACCTCATGGAATAAACAGACTTCGAAAAATTAAGTCAGGGGGTAGTGTGCTGGTCAAGGCTCTGGACCCCACAGCCGAATGGGATTCAAGCCCAGGACTGGCGGCTTGTTTTCTCACTTTCCTGCTCTCTGTCTCTCTCTGGTCCAATTTTTAAAAAAATAATAAATTAAATAACTTTTAAAAATTAAAATAACGTAAAAATACTTTTTAAAGTAAAAAGAAAATCCTGTGTTCCTCGATGAAGCAGATCTAGATATCAGCAATGAACAGTCAAATGTGTAGAACACAGCACAGTGTTAGAGCTAGACGAGGCGGAAAGAAAAGCTCTCCAGAAGTTAGTAAGCAATATGAGCTACTTTCTAATTCAAAATGCAGGATGAATAAATACAAAAAAAGGATAATCTTCTAATTAGAACGTATCCTACACAGTTTGCCCCACGGCTCTGCAGGACACAAAGGAACATCCTGAAAAAGAACACTGCACTTCCAAGGATAAGCACAGGCCTGCTAACACAAATAAAGTTTCTTTTCCGAGCTATTTCTGAGTCCTTCCTTAACACACTCATAAATCTTCACGGGAAACACGTACGGTATGCAACAGTTCCCAGACTTATTTTATCAGAAACTTCAATTTTCCAGGAAGTTTCAAATACTGTACTAAAGCAATTTAAATTTCATCACGCCAGAACATCTTGTAGTCTGTTTTAAAACTTACTAATTGTTTAGAACCAAATCATAATCACATCCCAGTTAAGACAGTTTTCTGATTTTTTACTAACATCTAAAGAAGTCAGCTGATAATTATTCACAGTACATATTAGTTAATATTACTACTTACATGTATAATCAAAACAAACCCACAACTTGTGAAGACCCCACAAATACTGATCAAATGTCGCTACATTTTAAAACACAGGGGAGTGTAAGAACACCGATAATCCATCTGGAAACACCAGGTGGCAACACCCAGCCTCATCCGCTTCCCTCTCCTCTCTCTGAAGAAGTGGTACCCCACATGTATTACACACAGACCGCCGTGCGGAGAGGGGCAGGTAAATTTTATGCAGAATGAAAAACCTTCCTTGCTAAACAATTTCACAATTCACTGTAGCCATTACGACCTCACTAAATACATCAACACCTGTCTTCTGGAAAAGGGGAAATCTCCCTACAATTACAGGACAATCGCGTTCAGAACAATACTACTTCTTACATGACAGATCATATTCAAACCCCATCAGCCATTCCGGGAGTGTTCTTCGCCAACAAACAAACTGACATCTAAAAATTGTTTAAATTTGCCAGGTGTGTGTGCTTGCTAGAAACAGAGAAGAGGCGAGAAAACAACCCCCCGTTGGGAAAGGGCACACTGCAATCCCTCTTCCACCCTTCCCTCCTTTCGGGACTTGATCACGTACACACATGCATCTGGCATGTTTCTCAAGCCACTGGGCCCAGGGACAGAACTGCAGTCAGCCATGTGGGACCTAGCCGTCTTCACCACCACATCACAGCTGGCCCAACCGTCAGACATTCCCAAGGGACAGGCAATCCTCGCACAGTCACCGAGGGCCATCCCTATGCCTAGGTCACTCAGCACATTGGCCCGTACGGGAGGACTTAAAAGCTGATGTCCTGGGATGTGCTATGGAGCCATAAGTATGTACTTTTAAGGAGGTTCTGTGTGACAGCACACTAATCTAACTCTACCCACAGAGTATGCCTTAGGTACATACCAGAAAGCAACAAGACGCACCGCAACACCGAACATGAATCCACAAGATCATTTGAGAGGTTTTTGCTATAAGGAACATGCGCTTGCCAGAAAGACAGAGACACAGAGAGACAGAGAGACAGAAAGCAAGAAATAAGCCCCCAGGGAGGATGGCCACGCTGCAATCCCTTCTCCTCCATTCTCCTCTCAGGATCTTGGGCATGCACACACAAGCGCCTAGCTTGAGTTAAGCCACCGGGTCCAAGACTTGAACCATGGTCGACTACATGGGAGTCCAGTGACATAGCCATTACGCTAACTGCTGGTCCCAATCCACGTGATCATTTCTTTATTCTGACTGTACCGTGGGTGTACAACAAAGTACAACCCACAAAGGAAATGCGTGTGACTGCGAAAGCTCCACGTGGGGAATACCAGCTAAGGGAATGAGACTGGGCGGACGGGGCTCCACAGAACTGGAGCTGGTCGCTGCAGCTGGTCAACAGGGAGGGCACTGACTGAGGGGCTGTGCCTTCTCTACCCACAATCAAAACTACTAAAACTGGGACCAGCAGTTAGCATAATGGCTATGTCACTGGACTCCCATGTAGTTGACCGCAGTTCGAGTCCCAGACCCAGTGGCTTAAAACTCACACCGGGCATGTGTGTGTGCGTACCCAAGATCCCGAGAGGAAAATGGAGGAGAAGGGATTGCGGTGTGGCCATCCCCTGGGGGGGTGATTTCTCACTTTCTGTCTCTCTGTTTCTCTCTTTCTGGTGAGCGCACATGCCCTATAGCGAAAATAACCTCTCCAAAAAAAAAAAAAAAAACCCTACTGAAACAGCCAACGGTGAGACACCTAGGCAACAAAACCTGGATTTCTGACTTGCCTTTAGATTAGTGCCTGTCCAGGTGCGGCTGAGGTAAGAAAAACAAGTATTAGAAAAACTGATTATCTCTTCATTGCTTTTACTCGATTCAGTTTCCAAGCCTTAGATAAGGACCCTAAAGATTAAAAATATTTAGCTCCTTTGAACCAAATTAATCTGAAGGAGCCTATGGCAAGAATCAGACTAACTGCTAAAAATGATAAAACTTGGTAGTTTCTCTTTTCACAAAAATCATCTCATTAAGCTATATAAAAAAAAAGTAAATACCAAAATCCAATAGACAATGTGCATAAAGGCCACAATGCAAGAAACCAATATATTAATAAAAGGTGGGGCAAGTAGGTGGCCTGGTGGTTAAAGTGCTGGACTCTCACAAGGCCAACTGCAGTTCAAGTCCTGGACCTGGAGGTTTGCTTCCCCACTTCCTTTCTTTCTTTCTCTGGTGAGCACACATGCTCTATAGGACACAAATAAATAATAATTATTTTAAAAATAGCTAGCTAGATAGATAGAAGGTGGCACTGTAGTTAAGGCAGCTGGACCCCACATGACTGACTGTGTGGTTACAGTCCTGGACCCAGCAGCTTGAAAAAACATACCAGACCCAAGCGCATGCCTGTCCAAACTCCAGAGAAGGGACTGGAGAAGTGACTGTGGTGTGGCCATCCTTCCTGGGAGGGGCTCTCCCACGTTCCCTTTCTCTGTCTCTATCCAGCAAGTGCACATGTCACATAGACAACCAAAGTAAATAAAAATTAAATTAAAGGTTGGATTATAAGAAACAAATCATCTGAATTGTTTTGGGGGGGAAAGATTTTTGTGACTGGGTGTGTATTCTCACAAGAGAGACGGAGACAGAGAGAAAGGAAAAAATCACCCAAGGGAAGGCCACATTGCAATCCCTCTCCTCTGTTCGCCTCTCTGGGTCGGGGGCACACGTGTACCTGTGCCCAACATAAGTTTCAAGTTGCTGGTCCAGGACTCGAACCCTGGTCAGCACTGTGGGAGTCCAGAGACGTAACCATTATGTCTTCTGCTGGTCCCCAAAACATCTTAATTTTAACAATCTTATACACTGATAAAGGAATATCAAAAAAACTGTCATTAAAAAATAGAAGGGAAAGAAACTACACACATTACGCTGGTTACTGAAATGCCCTGAAATATGTGGAAGCTATGACCACAAAGTGGGTCCTAAATCCTTTCTCAAGCACAGAAGCTGGTCCCTGTGGACCAGCGGGTACTATGATGGTTATGCCACTGAACTCCCACATGGGAGACCACAGTTCAACCATGGCACTTCACATCTCCTGGACCTGGAGGTTCCAAGCTCATGGCACGTGTGCCCAAAACCCCAAGAAACGAAGGGACTGCAGTGTGGCCACTGCCCCTGGGGGGCGACTTCTTGACCTACATCTCTCTGGTGAGCACAAGCACCCTATACCAAACATTTCTTAAAAGAAAAAAGTCTGTAACCCCAGTGACTCCAGAGGCTGAGACAGCAGCGCAACAGCAAGAACTCATCTTTAAAGAAAAAAAAAAAAAAAACCTTCATGAAGAGGCCGGCAGGTGGCATGGTGGTTAAGGGCGCTGGACTCCCACTTGGCCAACCACAGTTTGAGTACTGGACCCGGCGGCTTGCTTTCTCACTCCCCTCCTTGCTCTCTCTCACTCTGTCCCTCTCAAAATCAATAAAAGAAAGTTAAATAAAATGACTATTTATTCAAAAAAAAAAAAAATTCATGAAAAAATTCCAGAACGGTATTTCCCGACTGATAATGAACTGAGGGCTAAGCCTGCGTCTTTAAAGGAATCAAATCATTAGCAAATCCAATTTAGGTAAGAAAATACACTTACAATATATGTAAATACAGGATGAGAAACACGACAAGAAACTTAAACACAAACATGATTTCATGCTACTGAACTATAAATGATTAGAAATGCACCAACTTCTAGGAAATTGCAAATTACCAAAAATGTGATTTAAAAAGTAACACATTTCAGGACCAGCAGTTAGCGTAATGGCTATGTTGCTGGACTCCCATGTAGCTGACCGTGGTTCGAGTCCCAGACCCGGTGGCTTAAACTCACGCCGGGCGTATGTGTGTGCATGCCTAAGATCCTACACACATTACGCTGGTTACTGAAATGCCCTGAAATATGTGGAAGCTATGACCACAAAGTGGGTCCTAAATCCTTTCTCAAGCACAGAAGCTGGTCCCTGTGGACCAGCGGGTACTATGATGGTTATGCCACTGAACTCCCACATGGGAGACCACAGTTCAACCATGGCACTTCACATCTCCTGGACCTGGAGGTTCCAAGCTCATGGCACGTGTGCCCAAAACCCCAAGAAACGAAGGGACTGCAGTGTGGCCACTGCCCCTGGGGGGCGACTTCTTGACCTACATCTCTCTGGTGAGCACAAGCACCCTATACCAAACATTTCTTAAAAGAAAAAAGTCTGTAACCCCAGTGACTCCAGAGGCTGAGACAGCAGCGCAACAGCAAGAACTCATCTTTAAAGAAAAAAAAAAAAAAAACCTTCATGAAGAGGCCGGCAGGTGGCATGGTGGTTAAGGGCGCTGGACTCCCACTTGGCCAACCACAGTTTGAGTACTGGACCCGGCGGCTTGCTTTCTCACTCCCCTCCTTGCTCTCTGTCACTCTGTCCCTCTCAAAATCAATAAAAGAAAGTTAAATAAAATGACTATTTATTCAAAAAAAAAAAAAATTCATGAAAAAATTCCAGAACGGTATTTCCCGACTGATAATGAACTGAGGGCTAAGCCTGCGTCTTTAAAGGAATCAAATCATTAGCAAATCCAATTTAGGTAAGAAAATACACTTACAATATATGTAAATACAGGATGAGAAACACGACAAGAAACTTAAACACAAACATGATTTCATGCTACTGAACTATAAATGATTAGAAATGCACCAACTTCTAGGAAATTGCAAATTACCAAAAATGTGATTTAAAAAGTAACACATTTCAGGACCAGCAGTTAGCGTAATGGCTATGTTGCTGGACTCCCATGTAGCTGACCGTGGTTCGAGTCCCAGACCCGGTGGCTTAAACTCACGCCGGGCGTATGTGTGTGCATGCCTAAGATCCTGGGAGGAGAATGGAGGAGAAGGGATTGTGGTGTGGCCATCCCCCTGGGGGGTGATTTCTCACTTTCTGTCTCTCTGCCTCTCTGTGTCCTTCTGGCGAGTACATGTGCCCTATAACAAAAACCTCTCAAAAAAAAAAGTAACAAGTTTTAACTTCGGAAAAAAGCTGACAAAAATTTTCTATGTAATCAATCACCAAAAAACAGTTCGGTCTTTTAGAACAGACCCCACAGGGGCTAGCAGGTGATGTGTGGTTACATGCTGGACGCCCACACTGCCCATGTTCAAGGTCAATGCCACATCTGGAGGCTTGTTTCGTCACTCTCTCTCTCTGGTGAGCATGAAAACTGTACAGCAAAAGTGGAAAATAATTAGTAAAACTAAAGAATTCTTTAAAAAGAAAAAAAAAATCTTAAAAAAATAAAACAGAGGGACCAGCAGGTGGTATGATGGCTAAGGCGCTGGACACTCTCACATGGCCAACTATGGTTTGAGTCCTGGACCTGGTGGCTTGCTTTCTTACTTTCCCTCTCTTTCTATGTGTCTCTCTCTGGGCAAATTAAAATAAATGAATGAATAAATAAAAATTAAATAAATAATTCTTTAAAAAAAATAAAAAATAAAACAAAATAGAGCCAAACAAAACTGTCTGCCTAGTTGACTGCTTCTTTAAATAAATTCATACAATTTTTAGCTGAATTCTCAACTTAGATCAATTTTATTTACTCAAAATTTTTAAGCTCTTGGGACCAGCGGGTGGCGTGGTGGTCAAGGTGCTGGGCACTCCCACATGGCCAACCAGGGTTCGAGTCCTGGACCTGGTGGCTTGCTTTCTCACTTCCTCTCTCTCTCACCCTGTGTCTCTCTCTGGTCGAATTAAAAAAAAAAAAAAAAAATGAATGAATAAATAAATAATAAAATAAATACAGATATAAAAAATTTTAAGCTCTAGAGCCGGATAGTCTCCATGATCATATGTAAAAGCTACTGCTTGTAAGTAATTTTTTTCCATATACAATTTTTGGATTCTTAATGAACTATTACATAAAAAGAAAAGGAAAAGAAAAAAGAACTGCCAAGTTTCTTCTAAAAAGCATTTTAAAGGACCAGCAGGTGGCATGGTGGCTAAGGTGCTGGACACTCACTCCCACATGGCTGGCCGCAGTTCACGTCCCAAACCTGGTGGCTTGCTTTCTCACTTTCTCTGTCTCTCTCTGGTCAAATTAAAATAAATGAATGAATAAATAAAATTAAAAAGAAATAATTATTTTTTTAAAAAAGAACAGCCCCTAAATCTGCGGGATGCCCCAGTGCAGTGACTGCAGTCACAGGCCACGGCCAACTGCAGGCATGGCAGTCCCAGGGGCGCTCACAGGCCATGTGGGAGTTTAACGAGTGCGGGACAGTTTAGGAGTGGAATAGCACGTCGCCGAGGACATCACCATCTACCTGCCTCCCCCAGCAGTGCAGTGCAAAGAGCCAGGCACCGTCCCTTCGGTGTTTCCCGGTACAACAGCACTTACGTTCACTCTCTCTATTTCCAAATTACTAAGTACAGAGAATTTCACTGGCAACTTAACACAAACAGCACTGGAAACGTTTCCCATTTATACATAAATACATAAGGAAAAATAATAAAGGAGAAAGAAAAATAACAAGGAAGGCATTCCGATCTTTCATTTTCAATTCTTACAGACCATCCATTTTGGAGGGGCTTCCTTTCTTCAAGCTTTCCTTGTTTCACTTGCTGTGTCAGTAACTACTAAATAACAGCAAAGGTTATTAACAGATAAATAGTGAAAACAGAAGAGTGTGACCACGCCCCAACCAGTGCCAAAGTTTTGTACGAGCCAATACATTCACAATATTCCTACCTCAAAAATTTGTTCGAAATTCTGAAACTCCTGTAATCTCGCCTGAAATCCTTCAGCAAGGGCCCCACCTGTAACACAGGTGAAGGTGAAAAGCCTGCAGCTCCCCAGGTATCGCTGTCTCCGCTCACACCACGGGGTCAGGGGGAGGGGAGGGGAGCCGGCCAGCACCTACCGCCTTCTGGCATGCCCTGCGCTCTGTGCTTCCTGGCGCTAAGAACTTCCTTGGCTGAAACGAAGAAGATACGGTTCCGTGCTTCAGAGGGGCCCACGACTTTGAGCTCCTCCACCAGGAAATGGAGGCACCTTTCCATGTGCTGTCTCCGCACCTACAGGACAAGGAGGGCGTTAAGATCATTCGAATGGGACCAGCAGGAGGCACAGTGGTTAAGGTGCTGGACTCCCACGAACCGACCCTGGAGCGGGTCCTGGGTCTGTCAGGTTGCTTTCTCACCGTCTCTCTCTGGTGAGTGTATGTGCCCTACAGCAAATTTTTTTTAAAAAATGATAATAAATAAAATAAGTAATTCTTTAAATCTAACAAGCAAAAATAATACCAACTATAGGCCTACATTAAACTTCATTTACTGCGAAACTGCTGTAATAGTTCCCGTAAACTTAAGGTAACTCTAACTGATGAAGTGCTAGTTAATTAGGGGAATCATCACGGCCCCTTTGATTATGAGCCAACTAACCCACTCACAGCAGAACTCAGGCTTCAAACCCAAGGCCATCTTCACGTCTTCACACGAGAGTCCCAGAGGCGACCTTCACTGCTGCCTAACCAAGAACTGCTCTGTGAGCTGGTGCCTCCAGAGAAGCCCCGGGGCACCACACCTGAGACTCGGGGACTCCCTGTCAGCCTCCTCTTGGTGGGAGAAACACCCAGTGCTGTCAGAGTGTGATAGCTGACAGAAAACCTTTCTATGCGCAATGACGACTCCTTTTGAACATTCATCAAGATGTTTATTAAAATTCTAATGGAGATGAGGACAGCAAGTGGCACAGTGGTTAAGACGCTGGACTCTCCTCCTGCAGCGTCTAAAATCGTGAGCGGAGACTGGAGAAGGTACTGCAGTGTGGCCATCTGCCCTGGGGGTGATTTCTCACTTTTCCTCTCTGTCTCTTTCCTGTAAGTACACGTACCCTATGGCAAAAATCTGAAAATAAATAAATAAATAAATAATCTAATGGAGCACCAAATACTATTCAATCATTATAAAACATACTGTAAACACCTCTTAATTCTTATTAAGAGGGGCCAACAGGAGGCACAGTGGTTAAAATATTGGACTCTTACGTGGCCAACCAGAGTTTGAGTCCCAGACCTGGAAGCTTGCACACTCTCCCTCTCTGTGTCTCTAGTCAAATAAAATAATAAATAAAATTAAAACAAAAGATAAAAAAAAAATAAAAAGTACTTAGTAAACATAGGAAGATTATCAATCCTGTATTAAGAATATACATGAGAGACCAGCAGTTAGTGTAATGGCTATGTCGCTGGACTCCCACGTAGTCGACCGCAGTTCGCGTCCCAGACCCAGTGGCTTAAAACTCACACCGGGCGCGTGTGTGTGCGTGCCCAAGATCCCGAGAGAAGAATGGAGAAGGGATTGCGGCGTGGCCATCCCCCCTGTGGGGTGATTTCTCGCTTTCTGTCTCTCTGTCCCTCTCTGTCTGTCTGGCAAGCGCACGCGGCCCTATAGCAAAAACCTCAAATAAAAGAATATACACGAGAAGCCAGCAGGTGGGGTGGTACTTAGGGTGCTGGACTTCCACATGACTAACTATGGTTCAAGTCCCAAACCTGGTGACTTGAACTTTCCCTCTCTCTTCACACAAATTATAATAATAATAATGATGAATAATAATAATAAATAAAATTGAAGAATTATAGTTTCTAAGAAACTACACCACATAAAAATAATGTGTGTATATATGTGTGCCAAGGAATAGTGGCAGGTAGACAATACCCATGCAACTGAGCGGCATTTTTATTTGATCCTTATTATGCTTCTCTTATTTTCCAAAGTTTATGCACTGAAGTTATGAATGCCTTTGAAATCAGAAAATAAGTGCTATAATAAGTTCATTACAATGAAGCTCTTTCTATCAATAATTTAAAATCAGACTGTAAATGGTGTGTTTCTTCCCTAAAAACACTGGAAATTAGAGTTGAGGGTGCAAAGTCAAAGGTCCGCAGCTGGGTCTTAAAGAGAGGCGTAAAGACTGGAAGTTAAGGGTGTGGTGCCAGCCGACAGCACTACGGCTGTGGTTACACTAAAGTTTCAGAAAATTAAGTTAGGGACCAGCAGATGGTGTAATGGTTACATCACTGGACTCCCACATGGCCAACCACGGCTCAAGCCCTAGACCGGCAGCTTGAAACTCACACTGGGCATATGTGCATGAGCGCCCAAAATCCCAAGAGGAGAATAAAGAAGGGATAATGGTGTGGCCATCCCGACTGGGGGGTGATTTCTTGCTTTCTGTCTCTCTGTCTCTGTCTCTCTGGCAATTACCTGTGACATGTAGAGAAAATTTCTCAAAAAAAGAAAATTAAGTGAAACAGAAATACGGAGCCATCTGGGAATGATTCCGTGGGTGGTACTTCCTGACCCCCTGATAACTGAGACCCCGATTTGAAGGATGTCACAAAATCAGTCAAACGTGATACTAAGCAAAATTCAAATGGGAGAGAAATAACCTAACATGAACATCAATGGTACAAATGATTTTTTATCTTTTATTTTCTAAAATAAACTCATACTACTATTAAAATCAGAAACGGTATCAAGAAATTAGACATTACCTTAGCTCAAATGTGAGATACGCCGGCAAGTTTTTATAATCATCACTATGACAAAAACAGGAAAGAAGAAAGTGCTGTCTCAGAGACACACCCAGGGCGTGCTGACCTCTGCATGCTGGCACCCTCTCCTCGGGAGCCGTGCTGTACACAGCGCATGTGACATTACCTCAGGCCTCTATCGCCAGGTGCCAACAGCACATGACCCCACCACAACATCCAAAACCATCGAAAGACATGGCTAGATATCCCCGGGGACAAACCACCTGGCCCCGCACACTGAGAACCACTGGAACACGCCAGACAGACACACACGTGTGGACTCGACAGAGAAGAGCGTGCGCGGTACTACTCAGTCGCCAAGGTGGGAAATCCCCACATGCCCATCACCGAATAAACAGAACGAAGCGCATTCACAGGACGGAATGCTACACAGCAGAGAGAACACACTACAAGCATGTACATAACATGTACACACATGACGACGCTGAGCAAAAGAAAGCCGACGGTAAAGCGTGTATGCGACCCCACCACAGGAACGGAGTGAGTGGGGTACTGGACACTATTTTGATCTAGAAACTTGACATAGGTACATTAAATATGTAAAATTTACTGAGTTAGACACTTAGGATTTATGTACTTTTCTGTTATGGACATTATACTTCAATAAAAATTAAACTAAAATAAAAAAGCTTCAAGTTTTAGAATGACTGAATAGTAAGTACTTTTTATAACACAACTCTCCCCAAAGTAGCTTCAAACCTTGTTGGTCTCTGTCAATCACCCACCTCAGGCTCCTGTGACATTCCTTTCACAAGCAAGGCCACACCTGCTTATGAAGTTCCAGGCTATAAAGATACCGTTTTCTCAGGTGACACGTACATGACTGTATTTTGAAACTTACAGAAATAAGTAACTTACATCTTCCATATATTCTGGCTCTGACGCAGAGGCATCCCAACGATTATTCAGAATAAAAATATTAGGCTTTGAAAGCCGCTCATTCACCTTGTGAAAAAAATGCTTTTCCTGAAAAACATCAAACCCCCCATGAGTTCAGTTTTAAAATATTCTATGTATGTCTGAACCATTTAGACAACAGTGACTGACACCCACTGACGAGAGTATCCCAGCGCAATCTTTGAACATTAAAGTTTTCAAAGATGAGAAAACGAATATAAGAAGGGAGAGAAGTGGGCCAGCTCTAGGGGTAGGCGGTTAAGGCATCCGATCACACGTGGCTAACTGCATGGTTCGAGTCCTGGACCTGGAAGCTTGAGACACGCCAGGCTCTTGTGCATACATGTTCAAATCCCAAAAGGAGGCAGAAGTGGGAAGGGGTTGTGGTGTGGACATCCCCCATAGCGGATGCTTTCTCTCCCTGTTTCTCCAGTAACTGTACAGCTCTAGCACAATGACAAAAAAGGAAGACAAAAATGAGATTTTCCTACTCCTGCCACAAAACTTTTTTTTTTTTTTTTTTTAAGGTTTTTGACATAGGGCACCCAAGCTCGCTCACCAGGGAGACACTGAGAAACAAGTGAGAGATCAGCCCCGGGGGATGGCCACTCCAGTCTTCACCTCCTCAGATTTTGAGCACGCACCTGCTAGCCCTGTGCTGTCTCCTTCCTCAGGGAGCTGGCTCCTAACTACAGCTAAGTGTGGGATCTCCTTCCTCTGCGTAGCACAGCGTTAGGGCACACGCTCTTGCTGCTTATTACGAGGAGGTGTCCAAGTGTCTTGTGTTGTTATTAATTTTCTTAGCATGACTTTTAAAAATGACTTGATGGAGTTTCTCAAGAACACAGACTACCATGTCAGGCAGTCTCTTTCATGTCCTGCAGAGCAGAGACTCGCACCTACTTGTTAAATTGACCTTCACAAGACTCACGGCTGGCCCACAGCACTGTGATGAAGCACTGAGCATGGGAAGCCAGGGCCAACAGAGTGACAATCACGCCAGGAATCTGATGGGGTGGAGAAATGAGCAAAAACAGACCATGGCGTGGCCGTGCTGCTGTCTGAGTCTCTCCTCTGAAGAACACAGGTGTCCTCTTACATGAAAGGATGGAGCCAGCAGGGCCTGGTGGGCTCCCACAGAGCTGACCGCAGGTGGAGTACCCTGGGGGCTGTGCATGTGTGGCCTAGACCCCAGGAGAACTGCGGAAAAGGGACTAAGGTGTGGCAACCCCTGGAGGGTGAGCCCTCACTTCCCCTCTCACTGTCTCTGTGTCTCTCTCTGGTAAGTGCATGCACCCTCTGGCAAAAACCTTAAAAAAAAAAAAAAAAAGGCAACGGTGAGAAAGATGAGCTTAAACCCTGGGAGAGGGCTTTTCAAGAGGTGCGGCTGGGGACGGGTAACTTGCGGGAAAAGGAGTAAGTTTATTTTTCAACAGCCAAACAATTCAATGATTCTAGTGTGATTTATACACTAGAATCATTCATCTTTAAAGTGTCACCAGACTATTAACTCAGCGGCTCAGCATGCTGCTTCACGTGGAGCGGGCTGTGCCTCCACGCTCGAGTAACAGAATGACAGGGGCCTTGCTCCGGGAAGGAAGGGGTGGTCTACACTTCGTTCAAGAGACTTCAATAAACACCCAAATAGCTCTGGCACTTATTCCCTCTGAGACTGGCAAGAAAGAGAGTGAGTGTCACCGCCACACAGAGGCATCGGGCTGACAGGGCTCCACCCTCACCATGCCTGGCTTCAGAAGCTCGGGAGCTCTAGAGAAGCCAGCACCACTCACACACGAGCCCCTCCTTCTGCCCCTGACTTCAGACATGCTTTCTAATCCATGGTTTTGGACTCCCCTCACTTTCCTGCCACCCAAAAAAGGGCAGTACGAGTGAATCCTACCGTGTTCATCAATGTTGACTCTGAGTTTGCAACCAACACAAAGACATCCGCGTCTAAGCAAAATTTGTCAATCCAGCTGTCCAGCTCTGTAGTGACATCAGTGCCTGGACTGAAATAAAGAAAAGACAAAACTTTTATAAGAGAAAATTTGGGTTATAGAATTTTTTTTTAAGTTTCTTTTTCCACAGGGTGCATGACCTCACCAAAGAGAGACAGAGAGGTAAAGTGAAAAATCACCCCCTAAGGAAGATCGCCACACGGCAATGCCTTCTTGTCTGTTCTCCTCTTCAGATTTGGGGCAATTCTCCTTTTCGAATTTCGGGCACGCACACACATGCACCTGGCATGATTTTTCAAGCCACAGGGTCCAGGACTCGAACCGTGGTCAATCATGTGGGAATCTAGTGCCTTAACCAACACAGCACTGGTTGGCCCCTTTCAACACAGATGAAAATTAAAAAACAACATTCTCTGGGGCTGGCCAGTGACACGATGGGTAAGGTGGCGGGATTCTACATGACTGACTGCATGGTTCAAGTCCTGACCGGGCGGCTTGAATAAACACACCAGGTATGTGTGTGTGCATGCCCGAGATGCCAAGAGGAAAATGAAGAAGGGACTGCAGCGTGGCGATGTCCCCTGGCGGCACGTGCTTGTGGTCCCTTTCTCTCTTTCTCTGGCAAGTACATCTACCCTGTATCAACCAAAAACAAAAACAAAAACAAAAACCAATGCTTTATCTGTTCCTTAACAATCTAGTAAATGAGGAAAAAAGCAGTAATTAAGTATTTTAAATGTTTATGTAGCAAACTCTAATATAAGCAGCATTATTTCACTAAAGATACCACCATTAAGAGAAAATAAAATCCGTATGTAATTTTACCTGTCTACTAAGACCAGGTCATCTCTCAAGAGGGCGCACTTTGCCTTTGGCCAGAACACATGCACGAGACAGCCAGCTTTCAGGTCTTTATCCATGTGAAGGGCGTGAGCCAGCTGATTAACCGTCTAAGGAGGAGGAAGAGAAACAGAAACCCTACCTGTAGTGAAAGTCAATGAAACTAGAATTCCTACGATGATGCACAGAGCTCGTTTTTGGAAAACATGTACGGGGCTGCTCTGCAGTGAACAGTAAGGCACTGCTCAGGTAAGCTACGGCCCACAGTGACCGAGGTCCAAACAGCGGCCCAGCCAGCCCAGCACATACAGGATCTACCAGGCAGGAGGACTGCGGAAATGGGTCGTGTGACCAAGCTCGCTGAAGACACTCCTCTCTCGCTCACGTGCACACGCATGCGTTCTGTCACAAATTAAAGAAGAAAAACAAGTGCCTAAACGTTAGAACTCTGAATAGTCTAAAATAGGACCACCTGAACAATCTTGAAAATCCTGTTTTGAAATTATCAAGTTAGAAAAAAGAACAGTCCCCTGTAACAGCTAGCCCATACCATCCCCAAAACTCAGGTTGAAGGCAGGCTAAGTGGCCGACGCTGAACTCCAGCAACAGAGCCTACGCCGCCCCGGACACCTGGCTGACTTTGTAAAGATACTCAGTTCCAGAGGTTATTCTTCTGGACTACTTGTATTCTCTGACTCTCCTAAAATTAATACACACTGCTTGTAATAAGGGGGAAATGTCACTGTTCGGAGAATGGAGGAGAAGGGACTGCAGTGTGGCCATCCCCCCTGGGGGTGATTTCTGGCTTTCTGTCTCTCTCTGTCTCTCTATCTGGTGAGCGCACACACCCTATAGTAAAAACTCCCCACCCCCCCAAAAAAAAGAAAAAAAGAAGAAAATGACTTTTTGGGGATGCCAGGTGGTGTGGTCATCAGGGTACTGGACCCCAACACGGCTGACCACAGTTCAGGTCCCTGACCTCATGGCTTGCTTTCTCACTTTCTGTTTGTCTCTCTGTCTCTGCCTGCTCAAATCAGAAAAAAAATAAAAAATAAAAGTAAAAATTCTTAAAGAATGTCTACTTTTTTTTGGAGAGGTTTTTGCTATAGGGCATGTGTGCTCACCAGACAGACAGAGAGAGATAGAAAGCGAGAAATCACCCCCCAGAGGGGATGGCCACACCGCAATCCCTTCTCCTCCATTCTCCTCTCGGGATCTTTGGCACACACACACACACACCCGGCTTGAGTTTAGGCCACCAGGTCCGGGATGCGAACTACAGTCGACTACGTGTAAGTCCAGCGACATAGCCATTACACTAACTGCTGGCCCCAAGGTAGTTAAAAGTTTAAATTTGGGGACCAGCAAATGACATCAGTCGTGTCGCTGGACTCCCACATAGCCGCCTGCAGTTCAAGTCCCGGACCCTGTGGCTTAAACATCACACTGGGCATGTGTGCGTGCATGCCTAAAATGCCAGAGGAATGGAGGACAAGGGATTACAGCGTGGCCATTCCCCCTTGGGGGGTTTTTCTCACTTTCCCTCTCTCAGTCTCTGTCTCTTTCTCCAGGAGGTGCACACACTCTAAGGCAAAAACCTTTTTTGGAAGGGAAAGGTGGAAAACTGGAAGGAAGACTGCACCAATCAGGAGAAAGAGAAATGCCTCTTTTTTTTTTCCTTTTAAGTTTTTACTATAGGGTATATACCGTTGCCAGAGACAGAGAAAGGGAAAGTGACAAATCACCAGCCGGGGGAGGGGGAGGGGATGGCCCCGCCACAACCACTTCTCTTCCATTCTCTCGGGATTTGGGGCATACATGTACATGTGCCTGGCATCATTTTCAAGCTACTGGGTCTGGGACTGGAATTGTGCAGCTGTCCACATGGGATCCAACACCCTAACCTCCATGCCCCCTGCTGGCCCGAGAAATGCTTTCTTTAAAAGATCACAGCACTGGGGCAGGCAGGGGGCACAGTGGTTAGGGCACTGTACTGCCACATGACCGACCACAGTTTGAGTCGCAAACCTGTCAGTTTGCCTTTTCACTTTCTCTCTCTGGTGAGCACATATGCTCGATAGCAAATTAAAAAAAAAAAAAAAAGACAATAAATCAGTAAGATTAAATAAGTTTTTAAAAAAACTTAACAAGAAAAAATATCACGGCAGTTTCCTTTGAGACTTGAAAGCCAAAAGTAGTTTGAATTTTGAATTGATAAAGCGCAGACCATGAGCTTAGCTACTATTTGGTAAACACAAAAATGGCAGCTTCTGGGAACACTGAGCGTCTGTGTTTGCAGAAGAGATCTCTAGACTTAAAAGAAAGTGACCAGATGAAGAGACTACCTTCACTCCGGCGTCAACGTCCTGCATCCTAATCGCTCCCTTTTATTCTTTCCTTGGCTGAGGAGGTCTAGCAACACTGAATTAAGGAACTCATGGGGCCAGCTCCGTCAGCACAGGAGCCAGACCCACGTGGCCAGTCATGGAATGAATCCTGGCCCTGGTGGCTTGAAAAGCACGCTGGATACACATGTGTGCCTGCGCCGGGGAACACATATGCGCGATAGCAAATTAAAAAAAAAAAAAAAAAGACAATAAATCAGTAAGATTAAATAAGTTTTTAAAAAAACTTAACAAGAAAAAATATCACGGCAGTTTCCTTTGAGACTTGAAAGCCAAAAGTAGTTTGAATTTTGAATTGATAAAGCGCAGACCATGAGCTTAGCTACTATTTGGTAAACACAAAAATGGCAGCTTCTGGGAACACTGAGCGTCTGTGTTTGCAGAAGAGATCTCTAGACTTAAAAGAAAGTGACCAGATGAAGAGACTACCTTCACTCCGGCGTCAACGTCCTGCATCCTAATCGCTCCCTTTTATTCTTTCCTTGGCTGAGGAGGTCTAGCAACACTGAATTAAGGAACTCATGGGGCCAGCTCCGTCAGCACAGGAGCCAGACCCACGTGGCCAGTCATGGAATGAATCCTGGCCCTGGTGGCTTGAAAAGCACGCTGGATACACATGTGTGCCTGCGCCAAGTCCTGACAGGACGCAGAACCGGAGAGCACAGCCCGTTAGGAAGTGCTTCTCTCCACCCCCCACGCCTTTTTCACATGTACCTTCTGACAATTTTTTAAAAATTAGAAGAGAAAGAATTCATGAAAGGTAGGGAAACTATTGACCTTGATAAAGCTGTAGCACTTATTCGTGAATGTGCAAACTAAACACTCGTGAGCTAAAAGTTTCTAAAAACACCTGCATGTATAAAACACAGATTCCAGGGTTCAATTTTCCCCCTAAATGAGGGGGAAGAGGTGAAGGAAGACGAGCGAGACAGAGAGCCCCATCCGTCAGCCAGGGTCCCAGTGTGCACTACCACGCCTGGCTGGTTCAGCTTGTTCCAGGGCCTGAACCTGGGCCTCTCGGGTGGCCTAAACCAGTACAGTGGCACTCGACCACTTGTGCAGCTGGGGCTGGACCCATAGCTCAATATTGTTAAAGTTTTTTCTAGAAAGACTAATTTGAGATTAATAGCAAAAATGCCCTTCAATAAAGTTCTTCTCACTGAAGATTTAAAAATCTCTCAATCCAGGACCAGCAGATGGGGTCATGGTTATGTCACTGGACTCCCACGCAGTCAACTGCGGTTTGAGTCCTCAACCCAAGGGCTTAAACTCACGCCAGGCATGTGTGCATGCATGCTGAAAGTCCCAAGAGGGGTGTGGAGAAGGGATTATGGTGTGGCCATCCTCCCTTGGGGGGTAATTTCTCATTTTCTGTCTCTCTTAAGAAAAAAAATCTCTTAATCCTGGGACCAGCAGATGGGTTAATGGTTGCGTCGCTGCACTCCCACATCACGGACTAGAGTCCTGAAGCTGGAGACGTAAAATTCATGCTGGGTACATGTGCTTGCGAGCCCAAGATCCCAAGAGGAGAACCGAGGAGCAGGAATTGTGGAATGGCCATCCTCCTAGGAAGGTGACTTCTTGCTTTCTGTCTGTCTGTCTGTCTCTCCGGCAAGCACACATGCTCTATAGCAAAAAATCTCTGCCCCCTGCAAAAAAGATCTCTTAATCGTAATTTACTTTTATTTTAAATTAAGAACAGGTTTTATTCTTCTAATAATTTAGCTCTGAAGCAAAAAAAAAATTAAAAAATTGAAAACTTTAATGACTTTAAAGTTATGAACAGAAATATTAACAATTCTTCCATCTCCATCAACGTAGGCATCTTAATAAAACCGTTTAAAAAGAACCAATGAGTGTCACTATTCCAGGCGCAGCATGCGGGTGTTACCAGGCATAGTGCTCTTGTTCAATGGTATACCTTTACGCTCTTTTTTTCATCTGATCCTTCTGTCATAAGATAGGCTTTGTCTCCATCCGTCCCTTCAACACTCAGGAAGCAATTGGTTGTGTGGCCAATCCCGCTAGGGAGAACCTTATCCCATAGCATGGCGTTGATGACAGAGCTCTTTCCACTGCTTGTCCTGGAAGACACGAGGTCATAAAACACAAAACTCAGCAAAAAAAACACTTCCACACGAGCTAGCTTTCTTAAAATTCACGTTTGTTAAAATATCATCAGGCTGCATTTTCTTTTTGGAAAGGCTGATACCCTAACTTACAGAATACAAATGCACGCTCTGGAAAGGCTACGTGTAGGAAACACACCCGCCTCTCCCTTCGTAAAGCAACCACAACTTTCCTCTCTTGCTTCTTATGGCAATCTACAGTCACAGGTTAAAATTCTGTGCCATTCCAAAACCAGCACATGGCGTACTGGTTACATCGCTGGAAGCACACATAATTGATTATGGTTTGAGTCCCAGACCTGGGGGCTTAAAACTTACACTGAGTGCATATGCATGCATGCCCAAAATCCTGAGAGGAGAATGGAAGAGACGGGATTGCAGCGTGGACATCCTTCTCCGGGGCAATTTCTCACTTTCTGTGTCTGACTCTGGTGAGCGCACGTGCCCTATAGCAAAAATCTTTCAAAATCATCTGTGACATTCCTGCCCTCATAGGAGGGAAGTCTAATGATTCCCTTAATCTGGGCTGCTTTGTGACTTCAACAAGCAATTCACATGTGAGAAGTGACACTTAGTGACTTCAAGGCTCAGTGACGCAGCTTCTGTGTCGTTCCCCAGAACGGCGCACGTGGAGCCTTGCCACGTAAGCAGTGCGATGACCCAGGGTCTGCCGGGCTGTGAGGACATCAGCCAGACAGAGGGCCGGGAGGTGCTCCAGGTCACAGCCCTGGTCTTCAAGCCAGCTCAGCCCCGCCAGACATGAGAGCAAAGATCTCAGGTGATTCCAACCCTCACTGTGGAGCCACTCCCGACTTTCATGTCTCACCTGCTCCAGATGGGTGCAGCAAGACGAGGCCATCTCCTGCACTCGTCCAAACTCTTACCTCACAGGACCGAGGACATAGTAAAATTGTCAGGTTGCTACGTTTCCGGTAATTCACTGAACGGTAATCGTAAGGCTTCTGATGGCAACAACCAAATGCTGGTCATACACACACGTCCCACTGCAGGGACACGTTTTCCAATCAGCCAACCCAAACCCCAGAAGGCTTTCAGAACCTTCGGCTTCAGTGCAAACACAGCATCCTCTTTATTTCTTTGCTCTTTTTCATGAGGAGTGGGGTGAGGGAAGCCAGGAAGGCCCGGCCCTGCGACCCTCCACCTCCGCCTGCCTGTTAGCCAGGGTCACAGGTACATGCCACCACCCCGGGCCTGCCATGGTTGGTCAGGTCTGCGCCCAGGCCTCCATGTGGCACCAGCCTCACCATAGCGCCACTCCTGTCACCAGGGCTGGGCCAGCACTGTCTTCACGGCATGTGCTTCACGTCTTCCACCCAGTGAGAATAACGGTCTCACTTCTGTTCCGGGTATCACTCCCAACTCGCTCCCCAGAGAACCAGCCTTCCTTACGATCTCACCACTGTCTTCTACTGCCACTATACCCCATCCTGCTAGCACATTGATGAATTAATCTTTCCGGGGACAGCAGGTAGCATGATGGTTAAGGTGTTAGACTCCCACATGGCCAACTATTGTTCGAGTCCTGGACCCAGTGGCTCAAAAATCACTCCAGGCACATGTGCGTGCATGCCGGAAAATCCCAGGAGGGGACTGGAGAAGGGATTACAGTGCGCCATCACCCCTGGTGGTGAAGTCCCACTTTCCCTCTCACTGTCTCTCCAACGAGCACACATACCCTATGGCAACAACCTTAAAAACTTAGTCATTACAAAGAACCTTGCTGCAAGGATCCTCAAGCGGAGTGTGGGTCCCTCTGCCCCCACTGGGACCATCTGGGGTCCATTAACGACGCCCGTCCCTCAGGAGCACTGTGACTGTCAGCACGCCCAAGTGACCGAAGCTCATGCTTACCCAAGTTTGAGACACTCTGACTTCTGAAAACATTAAAAACAATAAAAACTACAGAAAGCTGACGGTTTCCCCCTGCTATCACACTCAACACAGAATACTTTCCTTACGCACCAAGCAACTCTGCAGTGGCGCAAACGGGTGTCTTGTAGTCTAAGTCATGTCCGCTCTCACGGGCCCGGGGCTCGATCCTCTAAAACCATCTCCTACCTCAAATGCCAGGCACAAGTGCCAGGCTGGGACTGCGCTTCTGACCAACTGGGTATAAATCGGGGTTCCAGTCCCCCCACTTGGACTCGGTAATTTGGAAGGACAGGTCAGAGAACTCAGGGAAACACTACCTACGTGTACCGGCCTGCGGAGAGGCTGTAAAAGACATACCAGCCAGATGGAGGACAGGGCCGGGTACTGGAGGTCGGGTATGCCACCGTTCCTACACCTCACTACTCAGCAACCTAGAAGCATAATTCACCATCTGTAATTCCTCGGGAGTTTCCCTAAAGCGTAACCTGGAGCCTCCCCACCCCCTTCCTCTAAGCCTCTAATCACTTGGTCTTCTGGTGACCAGCCCACTGTAAGGTGAGGTCTCCTCACTGCCATCAAGTGCCCTGGGGAAAGGGCTCATTGTAACTGAAGACACTCCCATCACTCAGGGTTTTAGGAGCGCTCTGACAGGAACAGGGACAGAAGACAAAGACCTAATATATTTCTTTTCATATTTTCCAATGCTTCCGAATTCCCTTTCCTGGTTTGGAACCTCTATTTCATGGACGGTTCCTCTTCTCTCCCTCGTCTTGTCATTGTTATCCTTCTCATTAAACACCCTGCCTGGATCATCGTGGACTCTTGCGACTCAATCACCAACAGAAGCAATGATTCCTAATCTCGTAGAAGTCCCCTTCGTTCAGACAGACTCACACGTCCAACTGACCCCTGGGTCGCGCGCAGCACAGACGCCCAGCTCAGCGACCAGGACCAAGCTCAGCCTTCTTCCCGCACCCATCTCAGTCACATGGTCAGCCAGCCAAGGCGCCCTGTCTCCTCTTACTTCCTGGTGTAACTAACCAGGAAGGCTAAAGCCACACCCACTCAGTCCCTTCTCGCTACAACGTCCAAGGTTCTAACCGTATTAGCGACTCCTCTCCTGGCTATTTTCCAAGATTAAAGAATGCACGACTCCTTGTAAGTCCCCACCAGCGCTACACGGCACAGGACACCTGAGCGACCGTGTTCGGGGCAGCTCCTGGTTTTGTACTCCTGGTGCCTAACAGTACAAAGGACACAAGTAGTGGACATGTGCCAGAGAACACGTGACCCGTGACAGTCACCCCGCCCTATCGTGCCCCTCCCGCGACTCTGTGAATTATGAGGCTAAGAATCCTGAAATACATACTTATAATCAATGCAAACTTCAAGAGTAAGTCAAAAGTAAGACACAAATTGTCCTTATCTGTATTTACTTTTTTTCCCCCACTAAAGGACAGATGTGCTTTCCAGAGAGACAGAAAGACAGAAGGGGAGGACAGAGCACCCCTCCATGAGGGTGGTGGTGCCCGAATCCCTTGTCCTCCATCTTGCCCTTCTGTTGGGATTTTGGCCACATGTCTCTCAAGCCACCAGCTGTGGCACTTGAACCACTTGGTTGGGCATGTAGGATCAGCTATGTGGAACTGGGCTGCCTTAGTCACCAGGCCGTGGGCTGGCCTTATATTTACATTCTTATAACTGGCTGAGAGCCAATTCTTAGAGATAAAAATCTTTAAATGGCAAAAGTAAATCAACTTTTTTACATATACAAATTTAAAATAAGAAATGAAGCTTTATTTCTTGAGAAAGAGGTAAAGAGAAAGATAAGCACCCTCAACACACTCTCAGGCCACAATCTACACCCCAGGTCTCCCGGCCAGGCGTGATCAAAGCCCTTGGGCCTGGCACAGACAGGACAACCCGGACTGGAACCCCGCCTGCTGCTCACATTCCCACACCACAGAGCACTGTGCTGCCACCGCACCGTCACAGCTGGGCCCGCCAAGCCTCATTTCACATGAGGGCTAAGAGAAGTTTTGTCTTTATGTGCTAACAGCTTTAACATTTAACACAGAGAGAAACTGTTGAGAGAAAGGGGAGGCACGTAACCTGCTGAAACATCATATACAAAGCTGATTTCTAGGAGCTCACCCTGAGAGAAATGATAATTACCTGCCAAAAAATGCCACCTTCATGTGTCTCCGAGACAGCACCTCCCCAATGATGGAAAGCTTGTGTTTATACCCCTGCATTTCAACCAGGTCATCTTCTGTGGCTATTCGATCAAGTTCTGGATTCCTGTATGTCGCTGCAAAATTGAAATGATATTGGACAAAATAATGACTTAATTATACAACGGAATATCAAAGATAATATGCTTTGGGACAGGCAGGTGGAGTGCTGGTTAAGGGCACTCGACTCCCACACAGCTGACTCCGGTTCGAGTCCTGGACCTGGCAGCTTACTTTCTAATTTTCCCTCTCTCTCTCTCTCTGACCCTCTCTATTCAAATTTTTTTAAATAAATAAAGTTAAGTAAAATACTTCTTTCTTCAAAAAAGATAACAAGCTTTGGTTTTGTTCTATATAAGTATGCCATTTAAGAAATAAAGAAGACTAAAATAAATACATAAATAGAAATAAAGATGACTGTCAATATCTGAAAACTGGTAAAAGGTGCATATCCCACTGTCAAGGGTAAGTATTCTGCACGAAAGAGTTTCAAAAATACTAAAAATTGTAAGGGTAGCGTGGTGGTTAAAAACTTGGATTACCACCTGGCTGACCACGGTCTGAGTCCTGAACCCCATGGCTTGAAACTCACAACATAGGTGTTATGTGTGTGCGTGTATGTGTGTGTACCCAAAATCCCAAGAGGAGAATGGAGAACGGATTGCAGTGTATCCACCCCCCAGGATGATTTCTCACTCTCCCTCTATTTGTCTCTCCGATGAGCACATGTGCCCTGTGGCAGAAAGCTTAAAAAACTGCAAGAGCCCCGTCCAAAGATTACTTATTGCCCATCTTGGTCTCAAAATGCAAACTACTCACCTGAGACACAGTGACTTCCACAGAGACTAGGACATGGTGCCCACCAGGGGTGTTCTACCCTGCCTGGATCTTCGGAGCCTAAGCTGAAAAAAGGGCTCCATCTGCTCAGGAGGAGCAAGGTCTGAGAGGGAGCCCCTCAGAGTGAAGGCGTGGTTCAAGGTCCTGAGCGGGGAGCCCCTCAGAGTGAAGGCGTGGTTCAAGGTCCTGAGCGGGGAGCCCCTGCTCACTGATCACTTACTTCCCCACAGGACAGTGCAGAGCAGCTCTGTCCCCTGCCCACCTCCGCCCCTCCCTTCCTTCTGCATCTGATAGAGGTACTGGAAAAGTCTAGATTTTTCACAACCTTTCAGTTTTGTCTATACTTCAGTAATTCAAGATAATCTGACATTTGCATACATATCACCTCTTCTTAAAAGTAAAGATTCAGGAGATTATTTCACTATCTAAATGGTCCTAGTAAAGATAAACATTGCCACTTAAAACTTACCCAGGGTTCATCTAACTAATCTCGAGCTTTTCATATCTTATTTTTCTAGTACATTAACAAATAATATGCATGGGACCAGCAGTTAGCGTAATGGCTATGTCGCTGGACTCCCGTATAATCGACTGCAGTTTGCGTCCCGGACCCGGTGGCTTAAAACTCATGCCAGGTGCGTGTGCGTGCGTGCCCAAGATCCCGAGAGGAGAATGGAGGAGAAGGGATTGCGGTGTGACCAGCCCCCCTAGGGTGTGATTTCTTGCTTCTGTCTGTCTCTCTCTATCTGTCTGGCGAGTGCACGCACCCTATAGCAAAAAAGACTCTCCAAAAATAAATAAATAAATAAAATAAAAAATACGCAATTTGGTGAATAATGGCTTATGTATCACCACATTCATTTTCATTTTTCATTTTATACTTGTTTCTTCCTGATTTAACTGCTTTATCTCTTTTCCGAACCATTATTTTCTGAGTTAAAGAACCAGTAAAATCCAATTCAGATTGCACAACTAGCATTACAACAGGTTTAATACACAAAATATAACACATTTAACATGACACATTCGTTTTCAGTTCCTGTTAGCTTCTTTAGAAATATACACGTTTCTCAAAAGGCACTACGTCAGCTCAAAATCTTTCCAACTAGAAATATAAAAACTCTATACCAATACTGCTTTTTCTCACTCAACAACAAAACTTGAAATGTATCAAATCCGGTACAAGAAACTCAGTAATAGGGAGAGGCCCTTGCCCTCAAGGAGCTCAGAATATGCGAAGAGAGGGTTAGCAGGGACAAGAAGTATGAGGGACAGGCAATGGCATGGTGGGTGAGATGGCTGGACCAAACACCACCGACTATACGGTTTGGGCTCCAGGTCTGATGGACTGAGAAAGCACACCAGACACGTGAGCATATGTGCCCACATCCTGGAAGAGAAGGAACTGAGGTGTGGCCATCTCCCGGGGGCAGGAGGATGTCATGACTCAGGGGTGCAGGAGTGATCAGACCTAGCACCTGCAGCAGGTGTCTCGCGCTCAGGAAGAGTCAGAGATGTAGACACACAGAGGGCAGAGCAAGTGGAGAGTTTATTGAAAGAGGTGGAAGCCAGGGCCAGCAGGTGGCATGGTGGTTAAGGCGCTGGAATTCCCAAATGGTTGGAGTCCTAGACCTGGTGGCTTGCTTTCTCTCGCTTTTTCTTTCTCTGGCAAAACTCACGTGAAAAAATAATAATAAATAAATAAAATAATTCTTTAAAAGAAAAGAAAGAGGTGGAAAGAAAATGAGGGCTCCCGAGGAGGGAGGGGCCCGAGATAGGTGGCTGCCGTGTGGTTAGGGTTCCAGGTTTCCGCATCACTGGGAGGAACCTGTACTCTCGGTCTCAGCGCAGATCATGTGACCTACAGGTTCTGCTCTATCTTAGTATCTTAGGGTGGTCTCACAGAGACCCTCCTAATGATGGCTAACTGGAGACTGCTTTGTTCAGGTTATTAATCAGGAAAAGTCATTATCTCAGTTAACTTTGAGGGCCTGGTGATCCAAATGTAAAGGGCTATGAATTCTTTAAGAATCAGATCAGCATGTCTAAGAGTAAAGGAATATGGGCACTGGGAGAGAAGAGGAAGTATTAGAAGCCACACAGCCCAGTGGCTCCCTTAGTGGTGGGGTGGGGGCTGCCCTCTCTACCTATAAATGGGGTGTAACTCCTGTCTCACTTGCTTTCCCTCTTTCTCCAATGACTACACATACCCTATAGCAAATTAAAAAAAAAAAAAAAGTCTGATTTTACTAGCCTACCAAATGTTTCCCCATTCTCACTGGAGAAGTTTACAGAACCCCGTCTTTTTCACTGCATATGAAATGGGCATATCATGTTGGAACCAGAAGTTTCAAGTTACCTCCAAGGTACTCCCTACCGTGGCATTCCTCTATACCTGTGTGTGAATAATTACACTTGTCTTGGGACCAGCAGTTACCGTAATGGCTGTGTCGCTGGACTCCCATGTAGTCAACCGCGGTTCGCGTCCGGGACCCAGTGGCTTAAAACTCACGCTGGGTGCGTGTGCGTGCGTGCCCGAGATCCCGGGAGGAAAATGGAGGAGAAGGGATTGCAGTGTGGCCATCCCCCCTGGGGCGTGATTTCTTGATTTCTCTCTCCCTGTCTCTGTCTGTCTCTCTGGTGAGCGCACATGCCCTATAGCAAAAAAAAAAAAAAAAAAATTACACTTGTCTTAAGAAAACTCCTTTTACCTTTTCCCCACTGTAATCCAGCCTCATTTAAGATGAAATAAGCCTGAGGACTTGGCTAACTGCCGAGTCAGGAGGGAGACAAGGAGGATGGTTAAATGTAGCTGCCTGATCTTTCATCCTGGCATTAGCAGCTGTGTGGTCTTGGACACAGTAACTTTTCTGTGCCTTGATTTCTTTAGTCTTTTTGTTTTTTTGTTGTTTTTCTTTCTTTCTTTCTTTCTTTCTTTTTTCTGCTATAGGGCATGTGCATTTGCCAGAAAGACAGAGACAGAAAGTGAGAAATCACCCCCTGGGGGGATGGCCATGCCCCAATCCCTTCTCCGTTCTCCTCTGGGGATCTTGGGCACGCACACACACACCCAGCGTGAGTTTAAGGCACCAGGTCCGAGATTTGAACCATGGTTGAGTACATGGGCATCCAATGACATAGCCAATATGCCAACTGCTGGTATCGGTTTCTTCAGTCTTTAAAACAAGGGTGATTAAAGCCTGCCCAGTGCAGACATGGCGATTAAACAAGCTATTAGTAAAGAAAGTGCTCACGGCGCTTATTACATACAAGCACTTACTTTTAGCATCACAATAGCACTCACTCCTCCTCTGTAGAGGGCAGACAAGGGTTTTATTCAGCAAGAGCCCCTTCAGGTACAGCACAACGTCCTATATCCAGCGACTAAAGCTGAACCACTGAAGCAGCTGTATACAGTTCCAACAATAATCATTTAATGAATTTAAGAAAAACTGACCTTCAACAAAATGTGATCCTTCGGTAACAAACTCCAGTAACTGGTCAAAGATGGCCGTGATTGCCTTCTTGGCCAGCACGAAGTGCTTCAGCGGGGAAGCAGTAGCTGCCATGGTGCTCTGGGCCGAGAAATGGAAGTTAGAAAGGCGCACACTACACTGGGTGGCAAACGCCTGCAAGTCAGGAGCACGCTCCGTGTCATTCAACTTCCCAGTGGGAGGAACTGAACGGCGTGCCCAAGTGCGTTTGGGTCCTCGTTCGGGGAGGTGCTTTCACCCAGACCACGGCAGGCTGCTCTGGGCCGGCCGTCACTAACGCCAGGGCGTCTGTCGGTGGGTCCCGGTGGGACCTGCACTTGCTTCCCCTGGGGAGCCCCGAGGCGCAGCGTGGCAGCCGGGGACGGGGCGGGCGAGCGGGCGAGCAGCGTCACTGCGCTCGCCGCGGGCGCGGCCGGAGGAGGGCCGAGGCTTCACGGACGCAAGTTCGGAGCGACACCGAACCCGGTGGCTTCTCCTAAAGACACGGCGGAGCGCCGATCACCCCGCGCCTCCGCCTACAGCGCGCCGCGGCCAGCAGCGCCGACCCCGCCCGGGCCCCCAC